GGATCAATCCCTGGAGGAGGACATCATACTTGGTGTAAAGTGGAGCGTCAGTGAAAAAGAGGAAGACCACCCCCATTGAGATGACTTTACATAGTAGCAGCAACAATGGGCTCAAACACAACTGTGAGAACAAAAAGGACAAGGAAGCGTTTCCTTCTGTTGTGCACAGGGTCTTTATGAGTCAGAACTGGTGTGGCGCTGTGGGTTAATGCACCAGACAGCAAAGCCATTTGAACTGCAAGGTTGGCGGTTCAAGCTCACCAGCTGCTCCTCGGAAACCCTATACAGGGTCGCTATGGGTCAGAATCTACTCGACAGCACTTAATAACAACAACAACAATTATAAGGTCCAGTCCTTCTCTGTACTCCCCATATTTTAGTATAATTAAGAGTTACACTATGATAATTATTTCCAAAGCTGAGCTGGTCATTCCCATGTTAACCTACCTGAATTTATGAGTTCTCTCCTCAGATAAAACTATATGAGCCTTGCCTTGCATTAAATCTTTCATTCTCACACCAATTCTGTGAAGTTGGTGCAATTTTCATAAGGAGTCCTGGTGGCACTGCGGGTTAGGCATTGGGCTGCCAACAAGGTTGTGTTTCCTTCTGTTGTGCACAGGGTCTTTATGAGTCAGAACTGGTGTGGCACTGTGGGTTAATGTGCCAGACAGCAAAGCCATTTCAGAAGAAAGATGAGGCTGTTTATTCCTATAAAGATTTACAGTCTTGGAAACCAAATACAGGGTCACTATTAATTAGAATTGACTTGATGGCAGTGAGTCTTTTATAAAAAAACAGAAGCTGGAAGGATTGAATAGCCTTGTTTATGTGTACAAGATTGTCAAGTAGCAGAGCTAAGATTAAAATCCAGGTATCAGGTCCTTGCAGCACTATCTGACACTATTTCTTTCTCATTGAAGTGTTTCAGTGTATGCCTTTGGAGGCTCCAGAGCTTGGCACCATAACCTGTACTCACCCTTTGGGAAACTTCAGCTTCAGCTCGCAGTGTATCTTCAGTTGCTCTGAGGGAACCGACCTAATTGGGATTGAAGAAACCACTTGTGGACCACTTGGAAACTGGTCATCTGTAGAACCGTTCTGTCAAGGTAAGTATTCAGAATAGAGGCTCTCTCAGGGAAGTTCTGGGTTTTATTGTTTGAGAAAATATACTAGAATCTTGCCAAGAATTCTATATTCTCTTCTAGAGTATAACTTAACCTAAATTAGATTATACACTCAAACTTCCCAAAAGGGTTATTGTTACTAAAATTAAAAAAGAAAACCTTAAGCAAAAAATATCAACCAAATACCCTCTGAAGCTAATTTGCAGTGTACATCAATACAAGTTACAACAATACTCTGGTTTTGTTTTACTTTTCTTTTTTCGTGATGGTTTACATAATCCATCTGCTGAACTTGTCTAATTTTGGCTTTCTTCTCTCAATAACACCTAGTTTATGTGGTGTCCTAGTTAGCACAACCAATTTCCTCCTCAGGGGACAGAGGTCTTTTTTTTTTTATTCTTTTACTTGATTCTTGAAGTAGTTTTTCACTTTAACTCCTCCACCAACTCTCTGGAGAATAACAACCACTCTGAAAAACAAAACTGCAATCCTCTATCTTTTTAAAGAAAAATTTCATGTGAAGTGTGTAGGTTTGATTTTGCCTTCTTAAGAAAGATGATTTCTGTATCTGAGAACTTGGTTATACTTTCTACACTTCAGCTCCCAGCTCGCCAGTTTAAATAGCTTATTAATTCTCAAAAGAACGATCAAAATCTATGATCTAATTCATAGAACTAATTCAACCTGCTAAATTGTATAGAAGTTGAGTGACTTATTTTAGGAAGTTGAGGTGTTTTGCAAGCTTACATTGGTAGATTTTAGAACATGTGAAAAGTTGCAAATTCTTTACATTTACTAAGAATACTCCATAAGAGCTCTCCAGCAGAGGCTGAGTGGCATGGCGCTTTCTTAGAGAACCACCACAGATGGATAGCAGCCTGATGCAGACCCCTCAACTCCTCAGACTTTAGTGCTCTCTTGACTTCATCTCTCCTCACTACCCTCCATCATTCTAAAGAAAATTAACTGGGAACCTTTATCAGAAGAAATTACTAGAAGGATCATGTGAATGGTTCCATAGCTGAGTTAGGCATTTTTGGCTAAAAATCTTTGGTTAAAGTTGGATCTCTACCCAGAAATACTGATTTTGATTTTTTTCTTTGCAAAAATCTCTAATTGCAGTGATTCAATGTGAGCCATTAACAGCACCTGATTTGGGGACCATCGCCTGTAGTCACACCCTGGCAGACTTCAGTTTTGCCTCCATGTGTGCCTTCAGCTGCTTAGAGGGAACAGAATTAATTGGGGAGAAGAATACTATTTGTGGAGCATCTGGAAACTGGTCCAACCCTAGTCCAATATGTCGAAGTGAGTAAGTTTGGTCAGAGATACCGCAGACTTTAACTTGGAAGTTATGGATAAGCTGATGGTCTGGAAAAATCTGTTAAACTTCTAACTTGCTTAAAAAGTATATGACTTTAAAATAAATTTATACTCCTTAACCCACTATACAAGGAGCTCTGGTAGCGTAGTGGTTACGAATTGGGCTGCGAACCTTAAGGTCAGCGGTTCGAAACTACCAGCCGCTCCGCGGGAGAAAGATGAGGCTTTCTACTCCCGTAAAGATTTACACCCTTGGAAACCCTGTACAGGGTCGCTATGGGTCGGAACCCTTAACAACAACAACAACAACAACCCACTATACAATTCTTGAGTATTCTTATTTCTTCTTCAGTGACAGCCATTTCTTTTTGTTTGGCCATTTCTCAACTCTAATGTACATCTTAACTTTTAAAAACTAAACACACTGTCTCTACCGTTTCATTTCTTGTTTAGTCTTCTGTCCCACTTTCATTTGAATTCACTGCTAACCCATTGAAATGCCTCTACAAACATCACTAATGACCACCTAAATCCCCAACCAAATAGTGGGTATTCCTTCATTATCACAAAGCTAATGCTTTCCAACGCCACATTTGCAAGAGAAGGAGTATGCCTTCCTCATTTAAAAATACTCTCTACCTGTCACAATGTGGGAGAGGGGTGGTGGTAACAGATGCAAAGTAAATACATACTAAAGGGGCATGTAAATATTGAAATGGCAAATGATTCATTACATATATAGTGGTGGTGGTGGTGTGCTGTGGAGTCGGTTCTGACTCATAGTGACCCTGCATAGTGTTTTCAAGCCTGTAAATCTTCATGGGAGCAGAAAGCCTCCTTTTTCTCCCCTACAATGGCTGGTAGATTCAAACTGCTTTACTTTGTGGTTTGCAGCCCAACTCATATCCCTCTACATTACCAGAATCCTTCATTACATATATATTTACCACAATAAAAAATTGTTATTTTTAAGTGCCATCGAGTCAGTTCTGATTCATAGCTACCCTATATTGTGTTTCCAAGGAGCAGCTGGTGGGATTGAAATACCGACCTTGAGGTTAGCAGTCCAATGCTTATCCTATAGTGTCATACCAGAACTAGCAGATGAAAAAATAACTAAGTCCTCCCTTGAAACCAGTCTTTAAATGCCAAGATATATAGAGACTATGAGAGAAGCTGATCTCCCTGTGGTCCAGGGCCAGAGAGTAGAATGTGGGAGCAGAGGGGAGGCATCAGGATTGTTAGGAGAGTATTCTATATGGGGTTCATCAGGATGTTTCCTTTTAAATCTGGCTAGCACTGTAAAATAAGCACTGGAATACTCACCACAAGTTTGTCAGCTCAAACCCACCAGTGCTCCTTGGAAACCCTGTAACAGGGTTGCTGAGATGAAATTGACTCGATAACACTTAACAACATCTATTTGGAGTCCTGGTGGTCATCTGTCAAAGGTATAAAATGGGCTATTATGGAGTCCTGGTGTGATGCTGTAGGATAATGCACAGGACCACAAGATCAGTTTGAACTGCAAGGTCAGTGGTTTAAACTCACCAGCTGTTCCTTGGAAACCCTATACAAGGTTGAGTTGGAATGGAGTTGACAGTACTTAGCAACAATGAAGAGAAAAGTACACTACCTTATGATAGCACTAAAGAAATGGTGTGTGTGACTTTGTGCTATGTGTCTTTGTCACTGATTTCTCTTTCAGAAGTGGACAGGAGTTTCTCAATGATCAAGGAGGGCGATTACAACCCCCTCTTTATTCCTGTGGCAGTCATGGTTACTGCATTCTCTGGATTGGCATTTATCATCTGGCTGGCAAGGAGGTTAAAAAAAGGTATGTGAGTTTAACTTCATCTGAAAAGAATGTAGCTTTAAGGTGAAAAAAAAAAGAAAAAGAAACCCACAGGAAATTAAGTATGATAGATTTATCTGAAGCAGGATGCCAAGCTTCATGTTCTGTTGACATCAGTCCCAAGAGACATGTGCAGCAGCCCCATACATTCCTTTATTACAACAAGCTCGCGGAAATAATTGCTTTTCATTCTGTGAACAATTTAAACGTAAGAACTTCATTCTTCTTGGATCAACTACCAACACTCATGGAAGCAGCAGTCAGGAAATCAAATGACATATTGCATTAGGCATATCTGCTGCACAAGACCTTTTTAAAGTGTTGAAGAGCAAAGATGTCAGCTTGAGGACTAAGGTGTGCCTAACCCAAGCCATGGTATTTTCAGTAACCTCATATGCATGTGAAAGGTGGACAGTGAATAAGGAAGACAGTAGAAGAATTGATGCTTTTCAGTTATGGTGTTTGAGGAGAATATTGAAAGTGCCATGGGCTGCCAAAAGAACCAACAGATCTGTGTTGGAAGAAGTGTAGCCAGAGTGCTCCTGGGAGGCCAAGATGGCCAAACTTCATCTCTATACTTCAGACATATTGTCAGAAGGGACCATTTGCTGGGGAAGGATACCATGTTTGGTAAGGTGGAGGGTCAGAAAAAAAAAGGAAGATCCCCAGCGAGATGGATTGGCAAAGTGGCAGCATCAGTGGGCTCAAGTGTGGCAACAGTAGTGAGGTTGGCCCAGGACCAGGCAGTGTTTCGTTCTGCTGTGCATAAGGTCGCTATGAGTCGGTACCAACTGGATGGCACCTAACAACAACAACAACAACAACAACAACAACAACAACTGGTGTCATGCTATAGGATAAGCAGTAGGCTGCTCACCATAAGGTCAGTGGTTCAAACACAACAGCTACTCCTCAGAAACTCTTTGTGGGGTTACTGTGAGTCAGAACTGACTTTTAGCACTTAACAGCTACAACTATGTTCAAAGCACCTTGCTAAACTGACAATTGCAATAAATCAGGTATTCTTAGCTCTTCATTGATTCTGAAAAAAAAGGGGGGAGGAATTTGGAAATTCATTAATTCTGAAAAATAAACTAAAATAACCTCTATCCTTCAAGAGCCTGCCACGCCTTTGATTATAAAGCTATAATCCCACTAGTAAGTGAATCTAAGGTCCGCTATGGTTTTCAAGGAACTAGTCACCAATACTTAACCTCTTCAAGAGTCACTTATCTGCCTGGGTTCTGACATTGGGATTTTCATTAGTGCTGAAAGAAATGCTTATGTGTTTTCACTAATGCCTATTCACCAAGGCCGTGAACTCTAACCACATGTTCATGCTTTGTCCTCCAACTTGGACTAAAGAAGAAAGGGAAGAAGCAGGGCTACCTCGAGGAGCTAGTAGCATCTGCTGCTCAAATAGTAGATGTTCATCACAAGAGAAGAGCAACAAGAAAAAAAAGTAGGGGGGAGGGGGGATAGAAGAGCAACAGTAAAGCTTCCCTTGCCGCTCTCATGAGTGTGTCACAGTCTTGAAGTGGGGTCACCTTGCCTTTTGGGAGGACCCACAGTCTCTGACAGGAGCTGGGTGTGTATTGTCACGTTTGGCAGCACACACTCAGCGGAAGCATTCAAGGTGAATAAATCCATGTATGTTGTTTTTGTTGTTAGGTGCCATCAAGAGTCAGTACCAACTCATAGCGACCCTATGTACAACAGAACGAAACACTGCCTGGTCATGGGCCAACCTCACAATTGTTGCCACTTTTGAGCCCACTGATGCTGCCACTT